ACAGTTGCGCTGCTGACGTGAACTTGGCAGAGCAAAATTCCGAATTGACCCCCGTGAAAATAATGTCCAACAAATTCTGAAAATGTCCAACAATGTCCAACAATCCACCAACAAATTTGTTGGATTGATTGGATCGATGTCTGCTAATGTTGCGCTGCCAAGTTCAAAAGGGTGAGATTTTAAAGATTATTAAAAATATCATGCTTCCCTATATTTAGTATTTTTAAATTGCCCTTTTTATTAAAATTTATGGATAAAACCTAAAAAAAAAAATAGAAAATTTTAATTACATTAAAAAAATATTTTGAACATTTTATTATATAGGTACCTAGAAATAATAATAGTACTAAAAAAATGATAAAATAAATATTTGGTGATGTGACGTACCTACGTATTTTTACGTATTTAGTTAATTAAGTAATGACAATGTACGACGTAGCGCACGTTTCTAATAGTACTCGACGATATAATTAATAGGGCAATTAATATATTATAACACGCTAGGGCCATTGTAAAAGTATCTCTCCAGGAAGTCAACAATCATACGAAGGATACGAGTCGACCAGCATAGGTACCAAGTACGAGACCAGGAAGCAGTCTCCTGAAGGAATTTGGCCACTGATACAACCACCCACTCCAAATACATAGTCATATAAATACCAGCCCGGGACAAGAGCTCGGCAGACGGTTAGGGACACACAAGACGCTTAGAGGCAGGTCGTAACACCACTCACAGTCTTAGATTTTACAATAGAGTCGTAACACCACTCTCTCCTTCACCATAGATTATAATATTGTAATTTTGTACTTAGTTAAATAAACACTTATCATAACCTAGTACATCAGTTATTCATGCCTGCGTTGATGTATATATCGACCTCAGTTGGGACGTAACAGTGACTATTAACTATCTATACGGTTATTCGTTTTTGAATTACAACAAAATAAGAAAATCGTAAAAAAAAATGAATCTCGAAAATGAGATTTCGTTAAATTACGGGTGAATATACAATCGCCTAAAAATTTAAGCAACAAAAGCACATACAAAATTAATGTAACTTTCTGGTAAACTTATTTTTTTTTTGTCAAAAGTAGAATCACTTAATACGAGGAATCTTGAATTAAATTTCTAATCTTAATTACCTATATAAAAAAAAGTTTTATAAAATTCTAACTCAAAATTATTAACAAATGTTCGTGATTTTTACGAGTATTATCAAAATTCTAACTTCAGGCACTCATAAAAAACAAAAACAAAAAAAAATCTCATTGCTATAAATAGCTATAATAGTTCAAAAATGTTCAAGATATCTTAAAATGTAGAAAATTGAAAAATTTCTACTGCCTCAAAAAACGACGACAGGCAAGAAAAAAACACAAATTTTTGTAAAATCACTAAAATCAATATATACATATATCGAGCTCTGTATCTATAATGTGCATAGGGCTACATCATTAATAAATCCGTTATTGAATGAGTAAATTATTAATTTGTATTGTAATACAGCAATGCGTTCCAGCATACGACATTAGAACATTCTAGAATTATTTTTGATATAGTTGATTTACCAATTCGAAAAGCGTGCATAATATTTGTCACAGTGGCTAGATATCAACTATAAATATCAATTACATTCATCATTAAAACAATTATTATATACACTAGTTAACACTTTCATTATAGTGAAATACTGTTCACTGTTCATTGATTATTTCTAAACAATTAATGAGTAATAATAATAAATAAAGATTTTCTTAAAAGTTTTAATTGCTTATAAATATAAATAATGAATAAAATCATTGAGCCATTGTTAAGTCCCTATTATACATAGTGCCAAAGAGAGGTATATCGTATATCTAAGGTGAACTAATTTTAATCTTTTGTATCCAAATTTCCAAGCTTTATTTTATAAATTAATCAAAAAAGAAATTCTGTTGACACTTGACCTACTAGGACCCTGAGTCACTTGAGCTTTTACCCAAGCTGATCCATTATATTAACAAATAGTTTAAATAGCTGAATAGGGGATACAGGTAATAAGAAATTGATTTTTTTTATAAAGATATTATAATAATTATAATAAAAATTTTGATAACATTTTAGATTCTGAATGGAGCTATAGCTGTATAGGCATGTATTGATTTCACAACGATGAGTGTTTTTTATTAAATTTTTTGTGTCTGTGTACACGAAAAATAGTCGAAAAAATTCTTCGATTTTCAACTTTAGGGATAGTTTCTGGTAGAAAATTGGATCTAGTTGATACTTTAGAGTCTTTATAAGTTTTTCTACCTTTGATAAAAAAAAAAATTATCGGAAAGGCACATTAATATTTTATGAGCGTTTAAACTACTTTAAAGTTCAAATTGTACGACATTGGAATATTGGATATTCAACAGTAAATAAACATGACAATTTACAAATTATATATTACAAACAGTTTTTCTTATAGATATTTTAAGTTCACATTCAGACGAACTTAGATATTTAAACAAAGAACAATTATGGTTTTAGTAATTTTGTTGTTATTTAAAAATATTATTCGTGGGTTCCTACTTAAAACTTTTAAAGCATATTATATTATTATTATTATATATACATTGACATTTTTAAATGCAATGTTTACGCCAACAATTAATTCGGCAAACTGTATAATAGCATTGAGTATATATTATACGCAATATACGTATAGTATTTTAAAAGTATTTTAAAAGCTATATTATTATAAAATTTATTTAGCAATAATATAATATAATAGGCTTTCTTTCTGAATTGTTTTTCGTATTCAATGATTTTATATCACTGAATTCAAATTTAACACATCCATTACGATTACAATAACCCCTTCTGGACACTTACTATAGTACAACAGAGTGGCATCCACTGGCCCACTTGTTTTAAATGTATTTTATTGACGTTTATTAAAGTTCAGAGTTTATGCCCACTGAATAAAGTTTTCTTGTGAGTCTTGTTGGACTCATTGGTCAAGAATTTAAATTAGATAATATACAAAAATGGATTTTTTTTTTTTTTTGATCACAATTTTCATTGGGTTAATAGTTAATAGTTAATCTCAAATAAACTAGGTATTTAAAACTTTTTTTTTATTTTTTAATAATATTTGTATAATTTGACTGCCACACTGGACCATAATTTAGAGTATTGTTAGTATATCTATTTTACCTTTACCTATATTCTTGACCTCAAAGACGTGTATACGTATTATAAAATAATAAATATACCTATGTAAATATATTATAATTGTTTTTTATATAGGCTATAACTTATTATAGGTAGGTTGTAGGTAGGTACCTAACATTTTTAAGTAATTATCTAACGAATATAATTTTTATAGTTTTTGAATTAATAGTTATTATCCTTTCATAGAACAAATATATGGTCTTATAAAAAAAAATGTTTAGGATTTTTTTTTTATTAGCTTTCAAAGTTATCTTAAAACAACAGATACAATTGTTGATAAATAGTTTTCAAATTTAAATAATGTAAATGTCCAGGTTATAGTTTTAAGTTTTTGTTCTCGAAGAAAATTTGTTAAGCTTATTATATTTATGTAGCGTAGCATCTGTGCTAATTTCTTCATTAGACAGTATGTTATATAGCTACCTATATAATATTTTTTTTCAAAATCATGCGATGATAATATAATGATATCTTCTTCAAATGTCGATAATAATATAGCTTTTGTGTTCTGGAAATGGCTTGTATTATTTTACCATAGTAAGAATATTATCTTAAAATATATTTTTCCGTGAATTTTTCGTTTACCTATTAGCAATTTTAAATAAGTTTTTAAATTTATAAAAACATTTAATAACCTCTAGTAATATTATAGTACAGTTACCAAGTCAAAAACTTTAAAAGCTACGGGCCCCAGTTCGACGCACCCGATGCAGCTTCAACGGTAAATTCGGCACTGTTCGACCGGGAAGTCGGAAAACTCAACATCGAACCGCCGCTGCGGCTACGACGCTTGTTACGATTTCGTCGGCGAGAGAGTGAAATCATTTATATCATTATCTTTTTTATTATGATTATGATTATATGTAATAAAAATATATTATTGTGTATAAAATGTATTGCGCTGTCCGTCACACGCGTTATGCAACGCCAACGCTGCGCCGCCGCCGTGATGCAACGCTGTGGCGGGAAAGCAACAACAGCCTCCGCCGAAAACGACACATGTTGTCGGGCACTGTGGCGATCGTGTTTGTAGTCGACGCCGCCGTCATCACCGTCACTGCCGCGCGCCGCTGGCATTCGCCAACAGACCGTCGACCCTCCTTTACGTTCTCGAATAATAATTTATAATTATTGGCTATTGCACCAACAGAGCGATTATATTACTTCGACGGTTTTGTTCTGATATTTTTATGCCATCACATCGGATATTATCAGGAAACTCTAGCACGCCGCCGTGCACTGCTGCAGATACGCGAATCTAAACCATATCATCATTAATCGTATAATATTGTTGGTGCTTACCAATTATCGAGGAGGTAACCTACGTCGGTTTTTCTTTCGTTTCCCTCTTTATTTTTTTCGTCCGATCGCCTTGCGCGCTCCTATATAATAGGTATTATAATACTAATAATTTCACACGGCGTTCGGAGTTCGTTTTCACGCGGGCGGCCTTGAACGGACGACATTGACAGTGTTTTCATAATATTATATAAATAACCTATTTATATATTATAAATATTATATACACGCATAACAACAACAATAACAATAATAATAACAGTCCAACGCGTTCGCTCGCGTGCGTTTTACCTACATTGGTAGTGGGTATAGGTACCTACTGCGCCAAATAATAATAACATAATTTCGCTCGCGCACAAAACCGTTGTTTCGGCGAACGGCGGCGGCAAGCAACAGCGCACAACCGGCTGCGCGATATTTCATGTGCTTGCCGTAACAGCAATCAGTCAATCGTGACACGGACGCTCGGACGGACGGACGGACGAAGACGCGCCCGAAAATGCCGCAGCTCATATTGGCCAACAGCGAACGGATCGCCGCCGTCGTCGACGACCACAAACCCGTCGGCACGGACGCCGATTTCCCCGACGTGCTGGCCGACCTGGACGTGGACGCGGAAGAGCTGCCGGACGAGGTTGTCGAGTACGGTCGTGTCCGGGTGGGCGAGACCGAGGAGTCCAGGACCAGATTGGTGGCCGAACTCGAAGACATGATATACGGTGAGCTGTCTTTACCCGTAGAACCCCTTAAACTAATGGAGAGAGCGCTTGGAGAGAGAACTCAGGGGTACGGTATAGAGAGCGAGCAAAAAAAGAAACAAAGTAGTAAAACGTATACAGTTCCTTATGCTAGGGCTCCTTCGCTACTTCGTGTTCTTTCTCTCTCTCAGTTATATGGTTGGTTATATGATCGCCTAGCATTGATGGCAGGCCGGAGTGGAATGCGCTGTCCATTAATTTATAAGTCTTTACCGCCGTTTTGTCCGGATACGGTTTCGGGAATTAGCGACCAATAATGTTGAAGTCAATAATTATTGGTAAGTGGAAATATAAGAAAACAGTTTATAACAACAGAAGTAGCGCGCAAAGTTATATATTTATTGAACTTAAGATTTTGCACTGAATAAATTAACAATACTTTATTTCTAAGACAGGAAGAACTTATCGATATGATCTGTTTTTGAAATTAATAATCTCACACAGTCCCTATTTAAAAAAAAAATCATACTTACTACACACTTTTTCTGTATATGACTAGGTAGGTATATTAGTCAATAATTGTGTAGAGTGTAGTTCTAAGCAATTTTTCAAACATTTTAATGAGCTAAACAATTTTTATATTTATTCTACACGTTAAAATTGGGGCTTGTATAGTGTATTCATAAATATATGTGTTTATTTTATATTACGAGTATATTGATCATTGCTAAAAAACATTTTTTTGAACACGTAATATAAGACATATATTTAACCTTTTTGTAAATTATTAATTAATATTTGTAATATTTTTGAGTCTTGGTCATTGGCGTCAGCAATATTACGTACGTGAAATTTACATTTCAATGACTACTATTTTACAATGAAAAACATGATAATTTCACTAGGTACTTATTTAAACATAATATTATGCCATCAACTGGTTTTTACATTTTACCTACTTCAAATGCCCTTGATCTTTAAAATGAATATCTTATCCAGCGAATTTGCATTGTTCCTTATGGACGCTTAGTGCTTCCACAAGGTTTACCGGAATTAGCCTTAAGTCCGTTTCCTGTTAAATACATTTATAAAAAAAAATATATTATGTGTATGCCATTTAATTGTATTCAGAGCTGTACATATATCACAGTAGCATACCTATATATGGTACATGTCGTGTATATAATATATAATATATACACAATTTGTTGTATAATATAAAAAACACAAGTGTCCTCCATATACTAACGTTATTACTTCCGTTTTGAATTACCAAATTTACTACGAAACTATCAATATTCATTATTATTTCAGCTATAACTTTAAGCTCATTTTATCGAAGAAATATTTGATTATATTTTACATTTATATTAAATCCCTCAATGCGCTCGTTTATTTGAATTAATGTAAATTTAAATCCTCGGAATTTCTAGTTTTTTCTAAAAGTTAAATTTGTATCTGCGGGATAAATTGTTAAATATTAACTTATTTTTTTTTATACTTATTTAAATCTTTAAGAATATTAAAATAAAATAAAACTTGTGAATATCAGTTATCGGATACATTTTAAAGGTACTATATAGATACATATTGCTGGCTATTTGTATTTACTTGTATCATTGCATCTTATGAAGACAATAATGTATGAAAAGAAATAATGAATCTACAAACATAACACACTACAGTTTATAATTATAAATTTAATTTTTTTATTAATACAACAAAATTGCATCTTAATTATATGGGTCAGAAAAAACTACAAAAAATATTTATTTATTCTGTTTAATAATTACGAATCAATGAATTATAAATATTTTATGTCAACTTTGTAATTTGTTACCTATTCCTATTAAAATAAATACCTAATACAATATAAAACGTAAAAAAATTCCTAGACAATAGTGCCCAGCGTGTAATGATTAACATGAAGTTTAATTCTCCTATACAATACACACAATAATATGCCAATATCTATACTTACACCTATCTTGAAAGCTCAGTATACAACTTATTAATATGATTGTCTTTTAAAAGTGTCATTTAATCTAAAATTAACTTTATTAAATACATAACATATATTTTGGTTGATTTTAAGAATTAAATACATAGGTATTAATCCGTAATTATTTTTAGGTACCTATGGGCTATGATCAAATTAATAATGATTTATTTAGGGTGAGAGGATAATTTTAATTTATAAATGTACCTATACTATGTAAGAAGAAAAGGATTCTTATATTATATTAAAATAATTATATTCAGTTTAATTTTCGTTTATAATTAACAACTAAAAAAATGTTTCAGAAAAATATAAAAAAAAAATAAACTTATTGTGATGGTAAATGATGTTCATAATCATAATAAATTATTGAGCGTTCATTTAATTGATGTTTACCTTAGCAAAATTCTGACGGAAATCTTAATGTTATTTTTTTCCTTTATTCAGAGAAAGGGGATGTTACACCACACAGAATGGATGAAAAGTTTCTACTACGGTTTTTAAGAGCTCGACATTTCAAACTTAATGCCACATACAAACTAGTAAGTTAATTTAAGAAATTAAATCAATAGTTGAAAATAAGCTATGCATAAGTCTACTTTAGATATACCTATCTCAAATCAATTAATATTCTTTTTGAAAAACTTTAAAAGGGATTTAAAATAATTAGTTAAACTAAATTATGTTATAAAACATGTTATACATTTATAATCCTATAATAAGTAACAGCTACTACTCCCACTCGTATACCTCACTTCAAAGCAATACTGGAGTAGATATATTAATGTTTAAAATTTGAACATAAAATCCAGATTTCGACAAACGATCCCTTGTCAAGCTTAGTGAAGATTAATTTTGGATTTTTGTTACCAGTCTTCCTAAGAAATATAATGAAAATAACTAATAAGTACGTCAAATCATTTTTAAACCAAATAGTCCTACTCAGAATCTAAAAGTAATAGAATAAATCTTTGTAACTTTTGAATTTAATGGTTTAACATCAAAATAAAAACTAATGGTCTAAATTTTCATTGAATGCACTAATAGTTATTTTTTAATGCAAAGGATTATTGCAATGACTCACATTAAATAAAACACTTGCTTTTTATATGAACGATATCATTTTATATATTTATAAATTTATCTCAGTGAGAATTTATAATTTCGTCCCTATAGTTTTGCAGAACTTTCTAACCAATGCACATGGTTATTTATAATTATGTACTTAGTCCAAAAAACTTAACTAGCCATTAGTCATTACGTTACATTCCTAATTCCTAGTAATAACTAATAAATACATTTGTGTATTGATTAGTCTATAGAATTCCTATACAAATTAATTAATTTTTTTTATTAAGTAATACGATATGTGTAACATTGTAAATTATAATATTTTAATAGGCACCTAGGTAGTGAAGATATGTGTAACATTGTAAATTATAATATTTTAATAGGCACCTAGGTAGTGAATATTTGTTAAACGTTATCCGTTAACTTTATGAATTTTAATTTATTAACATTGAATAACACTTTTTTTTTAATATGTAGTAGATTGGTAGATACTAATACTATAAAAAAATCATATTGAGCATTCTTAAAATTGTAAATGTATAGGATCTTATCAATTTAATCACAGTAAATTATGTATTACAAGATTATAAATTATCCACCTCTATTTAATACAACGATATAACTTGTTGAAATGATTCTATTGTTTTGTGAATCTCTACGGGATCAATAGCTACTTAGGTTTGACTCATCGGAGGTCGTTTTGTCATTTTTGCTTATCTCGTGTAAATTGTTAGTATCTGATTTCATAAGAATTTTACTATTCGAGGTAGACCTTAAACAGAAGATAGACAAACAATTATAATAATAAATTAATACTATATTATAGTTTTATAGGTAGCCAGTTTACTATGCGTAGTGATTAATGTACTATGATGTGTCTTATGAAAGACAGATACCTAGGTACCTATAATGTTTGAAGGACACATGGAAAAATGATCGTTGACCTGTACCTGCGTGGTGTCAACAATAATGTCTTTTAATTGTTTAGCAAAATGTCATCGATATTATTTTCCATTGTTTTTAAGTATGAGAAAAATAAGGTAGGTACCTAGTACCTACACATAATAGTAAAAAACAAATGATAGAGTAGGTATACCAATATTAAAGCTTGTGCATTGTTGATTTATCACCATCGGTGTTTCTTCATCTGGCGATTATTAGTACAAAACTACTATATATTATAACCAAACACATTGCATTCACAATTCTCCATCCAATTGATGTATGCTAATAGAAAATTAGAAAATTAATTTTGTATATTACTTTATTTCAACCACCACCACCACCACCACCACCACCACCACCACCACCAAATAAGTCGTGATCATGTCGGTGTAAATGGAACTCCGTGCTTTTATTTTGTTATGAACACTTTTCTACACATCATTCACTGCCGAACATGGTCACGACTTTAATATACAATACATATATAATGTATAAGAGTGTGTATATGTGTTTCGTTTCGTATTATAAATCGTATACGAAATATTCGGAGCATATAAACTAGTCACTAGATATATAAATATAAAATAAATATAACATTTATATAAAAAAAATGTTAAGTTATATTTGTTTTGAATATGGTCAGTTGTCAGTTGTTCAGCTAAGAAGATTTTTTAATGAGCACATGCTACATATTCTTAGTATGGCTTTTCGACATCTATAATATATATTTTTTTCACATGGCTAAAACTGTACCCAACGGATTGCGCAACAGACGGGATCATTGATTTATGTGTTTTGATTTCACCATTTACCATGTTGAATTAATTCTAAAAAATTGTCCATAATATATATTAGGTTATTTACAGTTGGAATAATGTTTTATAATAATGGTGAAATTAGCGTGACATGTTTTGATAACTATGTTTAATATGAAATAAAAAGATTGTTATGTAAAAGCATCAAACAATTATCGACCATTTTAGTTTGCTTTCGTATATGTATATTATGATTTATGGGTCATGAACAAACTCAGAGCTTGAATAATAAATATATATTATCAATAATGATGACTCAGGAACCCTTTTAAAGTACTTAGATATTTATCCAAGTTTAAAAACAGTATTGGAGAATTAAATTCAGTACTTAATACTTTTGTGTTCTATTATTTTATATATTAAAGCTTTATTTCAAGGAAAACGACAATGGCCACGAAATGGTGTGCAGTCAACCCAACCTAATTGCGACGATTTTCGTTGATTTTTTTTTATTTGTTTATTAAACAAACAAAACGAAAGTAGGTTCGGTGAAAAAAAAAACACTACCTAAGCAATGATTTGTATTTTTAAAACGTTAATTGCTAGACAATTATGTTGTTCCAGTTATATTTTACGTCATATTTTAGGTATGAATAGGTAGGAAAATATTACAATTAATTTAAATATTGTGCCTATATTCTTCAAGTTTGAATTACAACTATGTAGTATCATTGAAATATTTTCTGTTGTGAAATAAAAATATAGAATTTATAATTATTTGTAGAACAATCCAATATTAACCTTTATTTGGAACTTTTATAATACATATTTTATATTTTATACATTACCATATTTAAGATTATAATATGGACTATAGATGTAAATATTGTATAATAAGTATAATGTGGGTTAATTGTTTCAAAAACGATCAATTAAGAAAAATAACAACAAAATAAAAGACAGTTACCGGATGTTGTAATAATTTATATTAATATTGTATAAATATGTGACAATATTTACATCGTCATTAGTTTTTATGAATTCAATACCTACGCTTAGGAAAAATATTTAATATACCTACCTATTTTGTTATATGGGATAAAGTCGGAAACTAGAAAACTCTGAACTATCCGCTTGGTTTTAACGTCCTGAGTATAGTTTGTAAGAATTTTTGATGTTGTAGCGATCGTCTCACATAATAGTCACACACGTTTACCTCGCGTAACTCGTTACTACTTCCGCTTTCCCGTCAACAATAATAAGTCATCATTCCGGTTTTTATTTAAAATTATATCATTGATTCTCAACTGGACCAGGGTCTAGGGTTACCCTTTATTTATTTTAGGCCTCAATACCTGCAACCTGCTATACAATCATGATTATTGTGTTCAGTGAATTCGATAGCTTTCAATATGTCTCATAATATTATACTTGAATGCACCTACGTAGTTTTCGATGATTGCAGACTGCGGTATTTCAAGTATTATAGTCTTGTTGTTAAATATAATGCCAACGTCTAACCTATTATAGTTGGGACAATAATATATCCTTTAAACTAATTTTTCATTGATTGTAAATAGAGAGGACATACGCTGTACTTACATAAAATACACTTCTCAAAACGTATATACATCTATTACGTGAATATTTTAAAATAACTATGTTTTAAATTAGATAACTATTGACAAACTATACAGTGTACATGCGTCTAAATATTTATACTTAAAAATAACACCTGCCACAGAAATAGGATAACATTAGTTTATCTTATATATATTAAAATAACCTAAGTTTTATTAGGGTGAAACGATTTAGAACATATCATTGCCCATAAAACTAAGTGCTACAGTGATAATTCCGTTTTGTAAGATCATAAAAAACTAAAAAAGTTTGAAATCTTTTTGTTTACAGTTAATTAAGAGATTTAGTTGAAGCCTGTTATTAAAAAAAAATAATATAAGACTTTTAGTACCTAAAAAGTAAAAATTATATATTGAAAATGATAAGTTAAGAAAATAAAATATTAATATTCCAATAAACTTTTTTTAGGTATTAATAAACATGTGTACAATTTACTAAAAATACTAAATACTACTGAAGTTTTTATTTAAGAGCTTTTAAAAACAATCTTAGTAGTGTAGTAATCCCAAATATTTTAAGAAAAATCAACAATATTTCAGGCTTAACAAAAATAACTTTTGATTTACTTATATGAATTATTCTTAATCAAACACATAATATTATCGTAGCGCATACTTGCTCCATTCATCATATTTTATCCAGGATATCTACTGTGTAGGTATTTAAAACAATTTTAATTGTTTACATTTTTAATAAAATATATGTAATATAAGTGATGTTAAATCATGTATCTTTAGATGGTATTATTATACACTTTTACAGGATAAATATTTGGTTTTGATCAGTTTTTGATTCACTGGAGACCCCGTTTAGATAAAAATATCAGTGCACTTGTGTGTATATATTCTTACCGCATAGCGCAATGATAAATCAAATTGACGTGCGTGCAGTAGGTAACGATGTTTCTAGAGCATTCGGTGTCGGCGTGCGTTTAATATATTATAATATACGGTTTTCGTGCCTACCTCGACGTTATTAATTTCATAGGCTAATTTGATGCACAATCGCCGCAACTGCAGCAGCAGCAGTATTGAGCCATTAGGGGCATTTTAAATATATAGCTGGTCTCGGCGAAAAAAAAACAAAATTTCGCAATCCTTGTAGCCGGAGCAATGTACGCTATACGACTA